ATGTCTTGAAAAAAGAGCCAGACCTCTTTTTTCTTTTCTTTAGCATCTTCTAGAATATAATTTAGTAGATGTATTGGTGCAGCTGTTCCTTCTTCAGATAATTCTGCGAAATTTCATCCTTTAAGGACTTCTTTTTTTTTTAGTACCTGGCTAAGTCTATTGTTTACTATTCTTATTACTGATTTTTGAAAAGTCTCCAGGAGTAGAATAGGTCTGACATTATTGAGCTTGTATCCCCCATTCTTCTTTCTTTGGAATCGGGTAAAGCATTTCAATTTTCCACTTCTTGGAAATTTTAACTGTCTCTATACATGCTGAGGCCAGACTAATAAAGATGCTTTTTGCAAATTTTTCTATATTTTTGAGCAGAGGGTAAGGTATTCCAGATATTCCTGGAGCGGAGCTGTTTTTGGTTTGGTTTAAAGCCGTCTTCCATTCTTCTTGTTTTACAGAACTGGTTAGATCCTTGTACTATTCTTCTTTAACTTCTTCAATTGGCTCATATTCTTTTTTCCAAAAGGATAGGAGTCTGTCCACTTTTGTATTTCTTTCTCTAAATTGTCTTTGGAAGTGATCTTTGACTGCATTAAGCACTTCTTGAGGCTTGTGTATCAGCTCCTCTTCTGTGTTTTCCCTCTCTACTACTACTCTGTCTAGTTTTAGCTTATTGAATAGTTTTTCTAATAGGCTAGTGATCATTTTCCTTTGGTCACTTACTATTATCGCATGCCTTCTTTCAATATGTTCTTGTATTTCTTTTTCCTCTGCTTTTCTCTTTTTTGATTGCTATGTTTTGTAAAGGCTCTTCTACCATATCTCAAGCTCTCTTCTATTATTCGTTTCTTCTTGGCAATCTTGTGTACCTGCTTCGGACTGATCTTCTATATATTTGTCTTTTAATACTGCTAGCTATTCTTTTGCTTTCTTGCTCACCTGCTCTTCATATGAGTTTGTTTTTTCTCGAAATGTGAGGGTTTTTTGAGCTTACGACACCATTTTCCCATTACTTTTATATCTTTCCTCAAATTCTTCAGCTCCTCATTTTCAATTTGGTGGTCTTGAAGTTTAGGCGTCTTTTCTTTTTTAGATAGTGTACTTTTTGCCACTTTTTGAATTGCTCTTTGTATTTTTTCCCAGGTTTCATCGAGGTCTACATTTTTTTGTAAGTTTGTTATGCTGGGTAGTTGTTGTTGTTCTCTTCCTTTTTCTTTATTTCTGAAGAGTTTCTTTAATTCCTTTTCTAGTTTTTCTTTATAATTGTTTCAATCCTCTTCAGTTATTTTTTTAAGATCTATACAGACCCTGGCTCAATCTTTTTTGCGAAGTCTTGCAAAAGGTACTTTTCTCTTGTATAATCCTGTTTCAATTTTGGCTAAAAGTAACTTGTGATCACTTGCTATTATATGCTCAGCCTCATATGCTTTGCTTGTGATTATACTTCTGCTCTAGCCTTGAGATACCCAGATATAATCGATTTTCGTTTCACTACCTCTGCCTGCCCAAGTTGTTATGTGTTCCTGGGGGTTTGCTATCTTGAGTGTATCAACCAGATTTTTCTTTTCTATAAGATCTATAATTTGTTTTTTCTTGTTTTTTGGTGTTTGTGATAGCGCTTTTCCTTTTCTCTTTATTTGGTTTTCTTCTATTGCTAGAGTGTCTATGTTAAAATCTCCCAAAATTATGACACTGATTGGTTTGTGCTCTTGAGTATCTAATCTTTCTTTTAGGTATTTGTATATCTCTTCTTGTATCTCCTGATTATTAGATGCTATATACAGGGCGATGATATATAGCCTTAGTCTTTTAAAATCAAGCCTTAACTCTAATATATATGGATTAATGCTTTTTACTCTGGATACATGGGTTTCCCATCTTTTTTCTATAATAATTTCTACTCCTGACCCCTTTTGCTTTTGTTTGTCTACTGTTGTCTAAAAGCTATGATACCTCTCATATTTTTTAGTAAGAAGAGAACCTTCAATTTTGAAGATGTTGGTTTCCCCTAACCTTATAATATTTATTTTTTTCTCTTTTACGAAATCCATAAGTAAATCAAATCTACCTTTGTTTGCCTTAAGCCTGTTAATATTGTGATAGCTGATATTTAATATTTCTAGTATTGTTTTATTGTTTTTTGGAGAATTGTCTATATCTATATTTGGTGTATGCGAGCCTCCAAACTTGCTTTGACTCTTATAGGTGCCCCAGCTACTTTTAGGAGCGGTTTGGAGTCTCTTCTCCAGTATCATTTATTCGTTGTTCCTGTTTAATTTCTAGATTTTCAAGTCTGCTCAAAATTTGACTCAGGAGACTCTCTATTTCTAT